CCCCCCCCCCCCCCCCCCCCCCCCCCCCCCCCCCCCCGGGCCCCCGCCGGTGCCGCCGGCCCGCGGGGACCCGGTCCCACCGCCAGCGCAAGGCGGGCCGGATCCCGCGGGACCGGATCCATGTGCTCCACCTGGGACCCGCCGTGGGGCTGGCCTCCCCCCGGGGGCTGCACGTGTGGGGCTGCCGGCCCCGCGCCCGGTGCGCTGCCCGTGGGGCAGCCGTCCTGACCCGAGAGGGCACCGGGGCACCGCCACCGCGGAGCCCTCTGTGTCCCGAGCGATCGGGATCGGCGGCAGTAGCCATGGCAACCACCCAGTTAAGGAGCCTCTCTCGTTGCCGTGGAAACCGGTCCCGATGTCACCCTTGCCGTGACTCTCGGTGCTGAGGGGGTCCAGCAGCTCTCTCGGACCCCTGGGGGCCCTGGGGTCATGGGGCTGTGGGTCTTAAGCCATGAGCAAGGCTCTGTGGGGCAGATGTGTGAGGCTGGCCCCAGGCGGGAGGTGAGGCCCTGAGGGGGGCTTGGGTAGAGTAGGGACCCCACCAGCCCCGGCTGCACCCCCATGCAGGGCCCCTGCTGAGGGCCCTCACTTGGGGCACCGTGCACAGAGGGGTACATGTGGGGCTGCTAAGGAGGCTCCCCCAGACCCCTGTCTCCTCCAGCCTCCTTGCAGACACTCAGGTCAGGTTTGTGGCAGACTGGGTGCCCTTGGGATATCATTAGAAGAACCAAGGGTCTGCAGCAGGTAGAGGCTAATGATATGGCGGGGTGGAGCAGCCGAAGCCCCATCATCTGCCTGTAGTAGATTTTCCAAGGAGTCTCCATACCACTGAACACACCACAAGTGCTTCAGGGGGGTGCCAGAGTGGAGGTCCTTGTGCAGGTGGTGGGGCTGAGTGAGGGGTGCTGTGTGGGACATGACACTCCAATGTCTCATCAGCTGATTCTGCACCCAAACTCTTCTGACAGGGGCTGGCAAGTGGCCATGCAGCTGCTCCTTGGCCATCACTGGGCCCTCAGGCCCTGGCTCAGCAGCGGCTGCCTGGAATCCCCAGGGTACCACAACTGCCACAGGGCTGCTTGGGGGCTCCTCAGCTGTGTTGCCAGGAGCGGGGCCTGGTGGGAGGAGGCTGCTTCCACGGCTGATCCCTGTGCCAGGCTGCCCAGCCGCCCGCTGCCACTGCCCTGCTGCTGGCAAGACATCTGGGCAAGGGCAGCTGGGGACGCTGTGCCAGCTGCGCACTGTGCTGGGCTCGCATGACGCAGGAGCTCACAGCCTTGCCCCATGGCCTCTGCCAGCCCTGTCCCATTGCCGCTCTTCTGCTCTCAGCCTCAGGCAGCTGCAGTGGCTCCTGTGGCTCCCTTCCCAGCCCCTCAGGACGCTGTACCTCCTTCCATGTCCTGTCCTGCTGCTGCAGCTGGTGTCAAGACCCAGCTGGTGCCCGTGTCAGCCCTGGGCTCAGCTTTTGCCCCATGCTGGTGACAGGGCCCTAACCTGTCTGGATGGTGATGAACAAGAGTGCTCCATCCTGCCAGGGTGCTGCAGGATGTGTTGCCCCTGGGCTCGTGGAGCTGTCAGGACAGTGTGATGAGGGCACACTGTGACGAAAACCTCCCTCTACAACACTTGGCTGGCATCACTGCCCTTCTGCCTGGCTGCACCTCCATCATCTTGGGATCTCTCCTGCCCCAGCTCTTCTTTTCTTTGGGAGCTGCTTGTCCCCATGCCTCAAGCCCTCAGTGCTGGGTGTCCCATCCTGGCAGAATGTGGATGGACAGGCTGTTGGCAGTGCCCAGGGATCACAGCAGACAGTGCAATGTGCTGACCGGTATCTCCACAGTACAGCCGCCCTCACTGCCCGGGTGGCACACTGCCAGGCTGCCCGCTCCCTGCCCTCAGGAGGTTTCCCAGTCACTCCAGCACGTGTCTCGCTCCTGGGAGGTTTGACCGCTGCTGATAATAGGCAAGGGCTGTGTGGCCGGTGGCCAGGCTTCCAGCCCTGGGAATGTCTGAGAATGGCTCCCCTCACCCAGGCTCTACGCAGAGGGGTCTGGGACATTCTCAGGAGTCTCTGCAGGCGTACAGGACACTTTGCAGGGATCCTTCTTGGCTTGGTCGCTCTCCGTCGTCATTCCTGGGCAGCCTCTTGCAGTTAAGTGGGGCACTGATGCTCTGCCTGGCCTGGTGCCAGGATCCTGCCTGCTACTCAGACTCAGGAGACACTTCCAGTTGATCCCCCACTCAATGGTCAGGGAAAAGTGTCTGTCTTCCTCTTTCCCCGTGCCCTTGTGCTGCCTGCAGCATGACTGCAAGCAAGGCACAGGCATGGATGATGCCCAAACCGTGCCAGACCTCTCCTTTTGACACGCTGCACCAGATACCCCAGTCATGGGCATTTGGACCAGGGTTAAGGCCAGTGCTCTGCTGGGGATCAAGCCCCCTCAGTCTCCTCTGCCTCAGAGACACCCTCAGTTTGTCCCCACATGCTGGTGGGACCCTGTGCACAGGCTAAGCCAATGCAGTCTTGATAGCGTAGCCCACTGTGCTGCCGTCAAATCCCAACCCCTGAAATGGAGCCATAATCCAGGGATTAGGGGATTAGTGGTCTTTCACGTGCTCCCTCCCCTGCATCTGTTTTAGCAGGAAATCCCTCTTGTGCCGAGCCCACGCACTGTGGCCTCCTGCAAAAAAACACCCTCTGGTGCTTGGCACTCACCGTGGCTGGCTGGACCCTGGCCTGCTGCCCTTCTGCCCATCCACAGCCTCCTTGGGGTGGCTGGGGGGTGCCCTCTAACCCCCCAGGCCCACATGGGACAGTAGTTTTGTCCACTGCATCCTGTCTGCAGCCCCTTCCTTCCATTCCCAACCCTTGGGAGTGGGCCAGCCCCATGCTCCAGCGCTGGCTCCTGCTCAGGGCTGCGGGATGCAGGTGTGAGGTGCTGCTGCAGCTGGACAGGGGCAGCCCTATGTGGTGACTGCCACACAGAGCCCTGGGTGGGGAGTGCCCACCCTCAGATGCCCACCCTGAACTGCCCATCCTCCCTGCCACCCTCCTGTGCCACTTGCCATGGAGCTGGGGCTGTGCTGCTGCAGCTCCCCAGGGATGCCAGGTCCTGGGGTCCCGGCTGCAGCCATAGGGCAGGGATCAGTGCTGCCTGCCGGGCTGGGGTGAGGGGTCTGAGCCTCTCTCCTGGCTGCGAGGTCAGGCTGGGGAGCATCTTCGCTGCAGAGCAGCTGGCTCCGCACCAGGAGAAAGTAAACAATTAATTACAGCCGTCAAGAAGTAACGGAGGCCAGCGGGCTGTCATGATCTCAGCCTGTGCCGGAGGAGATGCCGGGAGCTGCAGCCAGCTCTGGCTGGGGGATCCTCCCGGATTAAGTGCATGAGAGAACAGGGGGCTTCAAGCAGCCCTGCAGCGTCCCTCTACAATCCCAACTTGAGAGTGGCCTGTGTCTCTGGCCCTGTGGGTGACAGCTGCAAGAGCTGGCCCCCCATAGACAGCACAGGGCCTGGGAGTTTTGGCCCTATTGCAACCTTTGTCCAAGTCTAAGAAGGTTGTTATGGGTGTGATCCCGGCCCCCTGGTCACCAGGGGAGGTCACATTAAGCCTGTTCCCCTCTGCAGGCAGCATTCCCTGTGCTGCAGGTCAGCTGGCCAGAGGAGGGTTAATCACCTCTACCATCTCCCCAGCCCTCCTGTGGGGTGGTCTGGACGTCTGCCCCCTCCCCCGGGTATCCTGGGTAGTCCTGCTACTGAGGCAGGGGTCTCCATCCACGGTCGGAGCCCCGGTGCCCGTAGAGGGGTCCCCTGTGTGACCTGGTGCTGCCCACCCGGGAGCCGTCTGTCCCGGGGCACGGGCCACGCAGACAGGGGCTGCCGTCATCCCGGGCCTCAGCCTCCTCTGGGGATGCGTCTGTCCCGCAGACACGGGTTCTGCCCCGCTGTACACCCCGAGTGTGGTCCAGGTCCCGAGGCTGCTTCGAGGTCCGGTGCGGGAGCTGGTGTGGGGTGCGGGGCCGGTGAGAGGGCCGGTGCGGAGTGCGGGGGCTGGAGGCGGGGTTCGGGGCCGGGGCGGGTGCGGGGTCGGTGCGGTTGCGGGGCCGTCCCGTCCCGTCCCGCCCGCGCCAGCCGGGCCCGCAGCGCTGCCCTAGTTCCCCCCCACGCCTGGCGCAGCCGGGAGGCGGCCCCGCTCTGCTCGCTCGTCTTTGTGCCCCCCCCGCCGCCGCGCCCCCCCTCCCCGCCGCGGCGGGGGCAATGCCTCCCGCATACGTGATGAAGCGGGCGGCCGGGCTGGGCTCCGCCGGCATCAGCCGTGAGCCGTGAGCCCGGGCGCCTCCGCACTGCAGCCCCCTCCCACCGGCGCGGGGGGCGGCGCGGGGACGCGGCTGCTGCGGAGCGAGAGCTCCAGCTCCGGCGGCAGCGAGCGGCCGCGGCACCGGCGCCATGCTGAACAACCTGACCGACTGCGAGGACGGCGACGGCGGCGCCAGCCAAGGTGAGGCACCGGCATCGGCACCGACGAGCGGGACAGCGGGACGGCCCGGGGCGGCCGCCCCCGCCGGGCCGAGGGCTGGCGCCGGCGCGGGGCAGAAGCGGCGCGGAGCCGGGGGCAGCGGAGGCTGGGGCTGCCCTGCTGCGGGGCAGGCGGGAGGCACCGGCACCGGCACCGGCCGCGACGGCGGCTCTCCGCCCGCGGCCCCGCGGGGCTGCGGCGAGCGGTGCGGGGATGCTCCCGCTCCCGG